GGGCCTCAGCCCATTCGAGTATATTCCATTGGAGGCCCCCGCTGTGCTGGTGGAGGTTGAGCCTCCGTTGGGACGGGTACTGCGACGACAGCTGTGGAAGCAAGGAGAGCCTGCCAAAGTAGTCTACATCACCACGGACACGACAACCACTTTTGCATCTTGGGTGACTTCAGTGCTCTCTATTCCATGTCAGTGCATCGCCGTTGATAGCTTCACAGATTCTGCCACGGAGGTCTTATACCTGGAAATGATGCAAGGAGGAGTATTTGCTTTTTTCATTGAGACAGATCTACCAGAGTGGTCTCGAGATCTTGACCTTCTTGAGCAAGGCCAGCAGCCTCGAAGAGATGACCAATGGCGCCCGCACTGGACGGCAAAAAGGCAGCAGCAGCTCTATCTGGAAAATAAACTACTTACACGCGCCTTGTATATGATCGCCACAGCCCGTGCCATGGGCGTTCCTGCGGCGGTGATTGGCGGGAAGCATGTCCTCCATCGTGCTTTATCGCCTCGCACCGACATTCGGATGCTGCTCGAGCCCATGGGTATCCAGTTCACAAGCCTTGACCAGCACGACTACGATGGTGGCTCGTTCGACCACCTCCTTCTGATCAACACGCACCTGAACCTAGAGGCGCTGGCCCGTGTTCCGCAGGGTGCAGATGTTCGTGCAGGTCGGCTCCAAGTTCGTCCAGGCATTCATCGACTTCTGATCGGTGCGCTTTTCATGACCAGCTCGTGGTTTTCCCATCGTAGCCGAGTAGATATTTGAGCCTGTTCTCGATGTGGCGGTGGTGGAGGTTACATCGAGTGGTGGTGGAGGAGGAATCGTATTTGTCCCTCTCCTTGGCGGCCCCTCGGGTACGAAGGTCTTACTCGTGTTCAGCGCTACCACGGAGTAGCGGCACTATCGAGGGGCCGACCATGGGGGGGGTTAGGTGGTCCTCCTTAGGGGACGGGGGGGGCACGGGAGGCGCAAGTGGTAAGGCGGGTGAAACAAACCGTCGAGCGCCACCCCAAGCCTCCCCGTCCCCCAATGTCCTGCTGTGCTGTCGCTCGTCGTCCTGGCGGCGTGCCACCAGGGGCGAGCCACCAGGGGCGAGCCTTCGAATTCGTCGTCCTGGCGGCGTGCCACCAGGGGCGAGCGCACTTACTTCCTTCCTGGCACTGGCTCCCGCTAGCCTCATCCTGATCCTCAAGGCCCAGGAAGGTTCCTCCCCCCTCTTCGAGGCCCAGCTCTGGAGCATCCTGTCCTTTTTGGCCGCCCCCGTTATCGGGGGCGACCTTCACCACGACCTCCGTGATCCAGATGTTGGAGGTCGTGGCTCTGCCTTGCCGAGCCTCTTAGGAGGCTCCGCCTGACGCCTCAGCGTGCGCGCTTGGCGGCCTGGCTAAGAAAAAAAAGAGGGAGGAGGAGGAGGAGGGGGAGGAGGAGGAGGAGGAGGAGGAGGAGGAGGAGGAGGAGGAGGAGTAGGAGGAGGAGGAGGAGGAGGAGGAGCGGGGTGCCCAGCCGCCCAGCAAGAGTTGTGCACGTTACTGCTCGCTGCAGCCCTGCAACGGGAACCAAGACGAGGCGTCGAATAAACGACAATCAGAGTGAGCGCGGCATGCGAGATCATCCGGATGATGTTGCACTTCATGTGTAGAGGGTCTCACACATACGGCCCATGTTTGGATGCATCTTTGCGCAAAGTGTTGAAGACGGATGTGATCGTGGGTAATTCCCCAGTCAGTGCTTACACTGAAGGGGTCCTAGCGGACATGGAAGAGATTGGCGAGAGTAGCCGGCCGATTTCGGCGGGCGGCTCACGGTGGGCGGCTTTCGGTGGGCGCACACTCAAGAGATTGGCGAACGTAGCCGGCCAATTTCGGTGGCGGCTCTCGGTGGGCGGCTGTCCGTGGGTGCCCCCTCGCTCTCTTTTTCTCTCTCTCTCTCTCTCTCTCTCTTTCTCTCTCTCTCTCTTAGTATCTCTCTGTATCAGTGCTGTCGGTGGGCGCTCCCTCTCGCTCTCTGTCTCTTTTGTATGTATGTATGTACGTATGTATGTATATGTGTATATATATATGTATATATATATATGTATATGTATATCTCTCTCTCTGTCTCTCTCTCTCTCTCTCTTGTTATCTCTCTGCGGGCACGGTGCTTGCAAAAACTGTCGGACCATTCACTGTTTGGGGTCTTTCTCCTGTGTAATAGAAGAGATTGGCAAATGAAGCCGGCCGATTTCGTTGGGCGGCTCATGGTGGGCGGCTTGCGGGGAGCGCCCCCTCAAGAAATTGGCGAAAGTAGCCGGCCGATTTCGGTGGGCGGCTCTCGATGGGCGGCTGTCCGTGGGCGCCCCCTCGCTCTTTTTTTTTGTTTTCTCTCTCTCTCTCTCTCTCTTTTTCTCTTTCTTGGTATTTCTTTATATCAGTGCTGTCAGTAGGCGCTCCCCCCTCTTTCTTTCTTCTCTCTCTCTCTCTCTCGCTCTCTCGGTATATTTCTCTTCTCTCTCTCTCTCGCTCGCTCGCTCTCTCTTTTTTGTTTATTCTCTCTCTCGCTCGCTCTCTCTCTCTCTCTCGGTATTTTTCTACGGGCTTGGTGCTTGCAACATTTTCGGACCCTCCACTGATTGGGGCTTCTCTCTGGTGTATTTGTCATTGGCCCTGCTTCGCCCAGAGTCGGATAAGCAAATTGAGACTGCCCACTTGAGCGTGATTCGTTATGTGTTGGTTGGGCGAGCTCGTACAGATAACTGTAAGTGCGCAGGCGTTTCCCGAAGTCAACGCGCGCTCTTGCAGAGACTGTCACGCAAGCTGCATGCACGCGTGGATGTCTTTGCGGAACGCTCGCGCAACGACTCCCCCCAAAAAGCCCAAACATTACGACGCCAACTGGTGCCGTGTTCGAAGCTCGTCAACCCAATCGGGCGCTCTGAAAGCCGAAAAGGCGAGTATGCTAAGAATTGCACTCAAACCTGAGGAGCATCAATCACTCTTGCCTCTCGTGGGCTTCTTGGGAGTCCTCTCGCAGCCCCCGTGGGCCGTGCTGGGAGCTCGTTGGGCCGAGTGCTGGCCGAGGTCTTTGGCCTGTCTCGGGGTCGGGGCCTGTTGGGGCCTTCTGGCGCCCTCCGGGGCCGCCTTCGGGTCATCTGGAGCCGTCTTGGGCTGCCCTTGGGCGCCAACGTCGTGGCCTTCCCGATCGGGACCCGAGTCCAGGCGGACCAGTGTTCGAATGAATGGGGGGCATGATTGCATTTGCACTGTGGTATACCCAATGTTAGCCAGCCCTTTGTTGTGAAAACTATGCGGTTCAACAAATATTCTGCAGTGCGAGTAGTGCGGCCTATGAGGTACAACATATGTTGTTCCAATATATGTGGACCAATCCATGTGGCGCAGTTTATGTGGTGCAATATACCTTGTGCAATGCATGGTGTACAGCCAATGTTGTGCACTCTATGTGGTGCGATCGCTGCGGTGCAACCAAAGTGAATCAACCAACGTGCAGCAACGCATATTGTGCAATCGGTGTTTCGCAACATGTGTGGTGGAATCTATGCTGTGCAATCTATGTGATCCAATATATGTGGAGCAATGTATGTGGTACAAACTAAATTCGGCAATGTATGCTGCGTTATACAGGTAGTGCGGTCGATGAGGTTCAACATATATTGTTCTATATGTGTGGGGCACTCTATGTGGTACAATATACGTGGTGCAAACTATGTTGTGCAACATCTGGTATTCGATTTATATTGTGCACCATGTGGTGCAATGTTTGTGTTGCAACCTATGTGATGCAATCAATGTGGTGCAAACTGTGTTGTGCATTCTTTGTGGTACGCAATCTGTGTGGTGCAATGTATGTGGCGAGATCTGTGTTGTGCAAAATCTGTTGTGCAATCTATGTGGGTCGGCGACGGCGGCCACATAGCAGCAAGATCGAAGACACGGCCCAGACGACGGGCGGCGACGAGGCGGCGACGGGGCGGCGACGGCGGCCACATAGCCGCCAAGCCGAAGACACGACCCACACGACGGGCGGCGACGGGGCGGCGACGGCGGCCACATCGCCGCCAGACCTGAGGCACGGCCCAGTTCCCTATAGCAGAGGTGAGAACCCATAAGTGCAAGCACTCTTCGGGGAATCGATCTGTGGATTCCATGTGTGGCTCATGTGGCCATCTACGGTGGGGGCGTTGGTTAAGGAGTGGTCCCAGGAGGCGCCAGACCCTGGAGGGTTCCTTTCCTGATAGGGCGGCGGTGATGTCCATGGCCGATCCACGACTGGAGTTCCACTGGCTTCCAGACCCTGGATTCCTTATCTAAGGGTTCCTTATCCAGTCGCCTGAAACCGAAACTCGCAAGAGAACTCTGACCTCCGCCACCCGCCGCCCCCCCCCCCACCCGCCGCCCCGTCGGGGGGCGGGCCTTTTTTTACCCGTTTCAGGGACCACGCTCTGGGGCGTGACAGCGAGGCGATTGCGAGTAAAGCTGAGTGTCAAGGAATCTTTTCACTGGCGAGCGAGTTCAAACATCGTGAAACGGCCCTCTATGCTGCCAAATAATACATAATTCCTTATCCAGGGCCCACGCCGCAGCGCATCTGCCCGGCCTGCGCGTGCGGGGGCGGGCCCCTTTCGGCACTGCGCGGCCCCGCCGCCGAGCATCCGGCGACGCAGCGCGCAGGGAGCAGGCCCTCGGCACGCGGTCCGTCGTCGTCGCTCGCTCCCCCCTCCCTCCCTCTCGCGCTCCTTCCTCCCTGGCCTCCCTCCGCCTCTCTCTCTCTCTCTCTCGCTCCCTCTCCCCCTCTCCGTGCTTCCCTCTCGCCCTCTCGGCCTCTCTCTCTCTCTCTCTCTTCCTCCCTCTCTCCCTCCCTCCCTCTCTCTCTCCGGCTCTCTCTCTCTCTCGCTCTCCCTCTCCCTCCCTCCCTCCCTCTCTCTCTCTCTCTCCGGCTCTCTCTCTCTCTCGCTCTCCCTCTCTCTCCCCCTCTCCTTCTCCCTCCCCCTCCCGAGGTGGTGCTGCTGCCCAGAGAGCAGCTGCTCCCCGAGTACGCCGAGCAGGTGGCCAAGATCTACCCCAGGTACCGGGAGATGTTCATGGGCCGGCTGTCCTCGGCCCGCCGCCCAGCGCGGAGGGGCCTCGCGCGCCCGCGGCGCGCAGTCGGGGAAGCGCAACCATGTCGGGGAAACGTACGACTCGAGTACGCCGGAATTCGGGTTAGCCGACGTTTTTTCGACGAGCCCGGCCCTGGCTTTCGACGGTCCAGTTCTCGTGGGACCTCTGCAGCGGGAGCTCGCGTCAGGTGTCAGGCTGGGTCTCGCCGCTTCTGGGAGGGCCCCGCCGGGCCAACCCGAGCCCCCCGCACCCGAGTCCTACGTCTCCCCGACCATGGATCCAGGCGCGCGGATTCGCGACGGGCCCCGCTTCCACGCAGCATCTCACCACCCACCAAACCACCCCAACCCAACCCGAAGGCCGAAATTTATCCTCGATTTCCAGTGGGGGGGGGGGTCGGGGAGCATTGAAAAAACACTTGGAATCCGCACCCCCCCCCCAACCCGAAATTCGGGTCAAATTCGGGTCTTCGGGTTGGGTTGGGGTGGTCTGGTAGGTAGCATCGGCGCGCTCCGTCTCCAAGTCGGGCGGGGCGCGCGGGGCGCGCGAGGGGTCCCGCTGCCGCACGGCGTCGGCGCGCTCCGTCGCCGAGTCGGGCGGCTTCGGCCTCGGGTTTCGGGCGGGCCTTCCCCGATCCGTGGGTGTGGCGCCAACGCTCAGAGCGTGAATTACCTACCCCGCTTTCGCTTCCAGGCGAAGCCAAGTCACACCACGCGCCTCCTCGTCAAGCGGCCTGACCAGTACAGGCCGTAGTTTGGCATCGCTTGGTATCTCGTGGAAGCGAGGGTGGTCAAAAGCGAGGTAGGTTTGTTTTCCCCCTAAACGCGCCAGATCCACGCATCCCTAACCCATCCTCGCGCGTGCCCGACGAATGGGAGGAGGAAGAGGAGGAGGAGGAGGAGGAGGAGGAGGAGGAGGAAGACTAGTGTAAACCCAGGACGCATCAACGAAGATGCAAATTTAAACAATCTCTCCAGACTCCCACTTCATAGGCTCCTACATGAAATCGTGCCAAAGCACCGTTTCTGGGACTTCAACGCTGCGGATCAACGTGGCTGTTGCGCGCTGGCAGTCCCCAGTCGTGCCAGAACGCTATTCCTGGGACTTCAGCACCGCGAATCACCCTGAGTGGTGCCTCCGGGCAATTCTGAGTCGCTCCAGAAAGCCACTCGAACCGACCACGCGAATCCTTAAAAGCGCTGCACAATGTTTAAGACGAGTGTGCGCGGCGCTCAGGCGGCACCCACATTTTGAAAAGCAGCCGCCCTCCATCCTTGAAGCTGCTGCAAACTTTAATACGAATGAGCGAGGTGCTAAGGCGAGAGCCGCATTGAAAACCACTTGCCCTCCATCCATGAAGCGGCCGTAAGCTGTTCAGACGAACGTGCGCGGCGCTATAAGGCGAGAGCCACATTTTGAAAAGTACCCGTCCCACCTTTGAAGCGGTTGTACAATTCCAGTTTTCAGGATCGGATGCGGATCGAAAGTCTAATGCGAAACGCCTGGCCCGCCATACCCACACGTCTGGAGGTGCGAAGGGGAGGAGTTATCCATTTGCAAAAAGGGAGGGATGAGGAGGAGGGGGAGGAGGAGGAGGAGCAGGAGGATGAGGAGGAGGAGGAAGAAGAGGACGAAGAGGAGGAAGAAGAGGACGAAGAGGAGGATGAGGAGGAGGAGGAGGAGGAGGAGGAGAAGGGAGGGAGGGAGTGAGGGAGGAGCAGGAGCAGGAGCAGGAGAGGAGGAGGAGGAGGAGGGGGAGGAGAGGAGGAGAGGAGGAGGAGGAGGAGGAGGAGGAGAAGGAGGAGGAGAGGGAGGGAGGGAGGGAGGGAGGAGCAGGGGCAAGGAGAGGAGGAGGAGGAGGAGGAGAGAAGGGAGGGAGGGAGGGAGTGAGGGAGGAGCAAGGAGGAGGAGGAGGGGAGGAGGCGGAGGAGGAGGAGCAGGAGGAGAGGAGGAGGAGGAGGAGGAGGAGGAGGAGGAAGGTGGGCAGGCGGAGGTCTGAGGGGGAGGGGCCTGGGCGCAACGCGCCCAGGCGCCCCCTCGGGATGCCGAGGGACGGGGGCCCAGCGCGAGCCTCGAGGATCCGGCGCCGCAGGGAGCCCCACGCTGCTCTTGGTCCCTGGCATCGCTCGGACGTGTGCCTTATTTCCTTCGGCGAGGGCCATCGAGGAGCATCCTTGCCCATGTGGCGAAAAAGCCACCCACGAGACCGAACAAAAAAAGCACAGGGAATGGACGTCCGAGCGATGGCCAGCAGGGAGCCCCACGCTGCCCTTGGTCGGGGCGCGGGGGCCACGTCCTCCTCGTTCTCCTCCTCCTCCTCCTCCTCTCCTCCTCCTCCTCCTCCTCCTCCTCTCCTCCTCCCTCCTCCTCCTCCTCCTCCTCCTCCCTCCTCCTCCTCCTCCTCCTCCTCCTCCTCCTCCTCCTCCTCCTCCTCCTGGCCCCTGCCTCGAGCAAGCGAAACCAAGCAGCAAAACAAGAACAAGCAGAAGCACAAACTCTCGGAGCCTCGCGCGGGCTTCTCGGAGAACGAAGCAGGCAGAAGCACGAGCTTTCGGAGCCTCGCGCGGGCTTCTTGGATCTGCGCTGGGACGGCTCAGGCGGCGCCTCCGGCGCCGGCGCTCCATCTTCCCCTCTGCCTCCCCATCTTCGGCCTGGAGGGGTAGGATTCCGTTTGGGGCCCGAAGCTCAGGAGGGAACAAAAACACACCGACACAATTGATCGTCGATTCCCCAGAAAAGATGGGAAACAATGGGAAGTGGAGGGGACGACAAAAGCCCAGAAAACATGAGACAAATATGGGGAATCCTGTGATTTGTGTCTATTTCTTTGTGTGTCCGGTTGTTTCTCGCCGCCAGGGCTCGGTGTAGCGATCGGCACGCAGGGAGGTCCTGATGGCCACGCTAGGAGCTGGCTCTCCCCTTGCAGCGGCCTCTGATCAGGGCCTCTTCGCGGACGCCCGATCCGATGTGATCCTTCTCTGCCCTGTCCTTCTCCTGTTCTCTCCCCCCTCAGGCATGCCTGCGTCGTGGACGAGACACGGCGGGAGGTTTCTGGCTGTCTTCGGCCTCCGAGGGCCCCCGCTGGGCCCCAGATCCGTCAAAAACGATTCTTTATGAAACGTCGGGACTTGCGAGGACACCACATCGAAAAGCTCAGGACACCGCATGTCTGGGTTTACCTTGCCGATGAGCGACCTGTCGCATCCCCAGACGTGTCCGTAGGGTGGGCTGGTCGTGTCGCCTGAGACTTCCTTGCCGTCTCTGACCCTGAAGCTTGAAATGTGAACAGGTGCACGGGATGGAGGCGTCGTTTTCAAAGTGGAGTTCTGGCTTTAGCGCCCCCCCACACATTCGTCTTCAACGTTGGCAGAAGTTCCATTGTGATGGAGGAGGGTTGTTTTCGAAACGGAGCTCTCGTACTACCGCAGCTCGCATTCATTGGCAAAAGTTGCAGGGGTGGAGGTGGTTGTTTTCAAAATGAGGCTCTCGCCGTAGGGCAGTGCGCATTCGTTTTTAACTCTTGCGACATTGCAAGGACGGAGGATGGACCCTTGTCGAAATGGAGCTCCCGCCCTAGCGCCGCGCACATTCGTTTTGAAAGTTTACAGCGGCTCCCTTTTCAAACGGGGCTCTCGCTTGAGGGCTCCTTGAGCTCGAAGACCGGAGGCTCGAACATGTTGACAGCTATCTGTACGGACAGAGGGTGACTCCTTGTCAAAGCTGGGCCCTCGCTTGAAACTTCCCCTCGTGGCCAGAAGTGTTAGCTCGTGCAGCAAGGACGCCAGTGTAGGGGTGGTCTCTGTTCGAGCGGGTACCTCGCTGGACACTTCGCTGAATCGTATGAACACACCTCCCTGCATTCCTGACTACAGTCGGGGCCCTGAAGAAGGAACCCTTTTGGTTGGGGAGGGGCTCCGCGTTCCTTAAGTATTTCACAGCTAGCCTCAGGTTTTCCTTATGTTTTCGATAGGAATTCGAAGTTTATCTTATGGCAAAAAGGGGCCTCGTTCCTGATTTAGGGTTCCTTAGGTCAACGCCCCGACTGCACTTCGCCAGAAGCATGCAGGGCAGCTCCCTCTCAAAACGGGGCTGTCGCCTGCATGTTAGGCCCCTTCTGGGCCATCGCTCGGGTCTCGGGCGGCCGCTCGGGACGATCCGGGCACCCACCCGAACGCCCTCGGCGAGGCGCAGCTGCTGAAGCGCGCCCCGAGGCTGGAAGACCGCCGAGAGCCGACGAACACCCCTCGGCTCTCCGCTCTCCTCCGTTCTCTCTCTCTCTCTCTCTCCCGACAGCGTCGGCCCCCAGAGGTCTCGACCGAGTGCCCGGGACTGGCTCTTCATCCCGAGTCGTTTCTGACAGTCCCGGGGCCCGGGCGAGGGCTCCCCGATGCCGAAGATTGCAAGAGTACTTTTCGTCGTTGTTTTGTCATCACTCGAAGGCGTCTGGGGCCTGGGTCTCCTCTCCCTCCCGCGGGGCCATGCAGGACCCCGCGCAGCCCCCGTCGGCACATACAGCGTCCCAAGGACGAGCAGCACCCTCCGGATGCCTCGCCCAGCCGAGCGGCATCCTCGCAGTCTGGTTCTGGCGTTGCCGATTTCGCTTGATATCGCATGGTGATGGGGTCCATCCCATGCCGCTCCCTCCTCAAGTGCGCACGCATCACGCCTCCGAGGGAAAAAGAGGAGGAGGGGAGAGGAGGGAGGAGGGAGGAGGGAGGAGGGAGGAGAGAGGAGGGAGGAGGAAGGAGGAAGGAGGAAGGCCTCCTCCTCCTCCTCCTCCTCTCCTCCTCCTCCTCCTCCTCCCTCCCTCCTCCTCCTCCTCCTCCTCCTCCTCCTCCTCCTCCTCCTCCTCCTCCTCCTCCTCCTCCTCCTCCTCCTCCTCCTCCTCCTCCTCCGCTCCTCCTCCCCCTCGGATGCGTGATGCGTGATGCGTGCGCGCTCCCTGCTCCGCCTCGTCCGGTCCTCCCTCATCCCGCTCGTCTTCACGTAAGAGTGACCCTTCGCCGGAGTGACCTTTGGTGCGGGCTCGCGGGGCCCCTCGACGGCTGAACGCGAGGCGATAGCAGTGGCTGGCGCGCTCGGGTTTGGCCCCCCCGCGACCCCCCCGAAATCCGCGCACCCAATGAATATCACCCTCGCCCAGGCTCGCCCTCGCACGCCCTCCCGCCGTGGCCCCTTCAGCCGAGAGGCCGCGCCGAGCGCCACACCATGCGCCCCAGCGGCGCCGCCCCCGGCGACTCGGAGCCGCGGCCCCGCGGCCCGCCGCCCGTTTTTCCAGGCCTGGGCTCGGCGGCCGTCACCAGGAGGCCATCGCCGCGCCCACCGGCCCAGTCGATCCCAGGAGGAGGAGGAGGAGGAGGAGGAGGAGGAGGAGGAGGAAGAGGTTAGTCATTAGGAAATGGAGGAGGAGGAGGAGGAGGAGGAGGAGGAGGGGAGGGAGGAGGAGGAGGAGGAGGAGGAGGAGGAGGAGGAGGGCGGTGTGAGTGATGGGGGGATAAGGAGGGGGTGGGGGAGGAGGAAGAGAGGAGGAGGGGGAGGAGGAGGAGGAGAGAGGAGGAGGGAGGAGGAGGCCGCAGGAGGAGGAGGAGGAGGGGGAGCGGGGAGGAGGAGGAGGAGGAGGTGAGGAGGAGGAGGAGGAGGAGGAGGAGGAGGAGGAGGAGGAGGAGGAGGAGGAGAGAGGAGTGGAGGGAGGGGGGAGAGGAGGAGGAGGGGGAGGAGGAGGAGGAGGGAGGAGAGGAGGAGGAGGAGGAGGAGGAGCAAGGAGTGTAGGAGTGTAGGAGCGTAGGAGTGCAGGGGCGTACAAGTGTAGGAGTGTAGGAGTGTATGGGAGTGTAGGAGTGTAGGAGGAGGATGAGGATGAACATGATGCTGATGATGATGTTGCCGATGATGATGATGCTGATGATGATGCTGCTGATGATGATGGTGATGATGATGATGACGATGATGGTGACCATGAGGAAGAAGAGGAGGCGGATGAGGAGGATGAGGAGGAGGAGGACCAGTGTAAACCCAAGACGCATCAACGATGTCGTAAAACACCCTCCTTCCAGTTTCCCTCTTCATAATAGGGCCCGAAAGGAATGTATGTTCATTGTGGGAAGTGGCTCGTCAGAAGAAGACCACCGTTTGAGAATTGTCAAGTGTGCCAAAACACAGTTCCTTGGATTTCAGCGCCGCAGATCAGTGTGACTGTTGCGCGGGGACAATCCACAATCGTGCGAGAACGCTGTTCCTGGGACTTTAACACCGCGGGTCAAAGTGACTGGTCGGCCCTTACAATTGAAATATTGCCAGAATGCGATTTGTAGGACTTCGACCATACGAATCCTTGAAACCGCCGCGAACTTGTAAGACGAGTGTGCGAGGCGCTAAGCGCTAAGGCGAGAGCCACAGTTTGAGAAGGAACCGCTGCTGCAAGCTTTCAAGACCAATGTGCGCGGCGCTAAGGCCAGAGCAACATTTTGGAAAGGAGCCGCCTCCATCTTTGAAGCTGTTGCGGACTTTAACGACGAATGTGCGCGGCGCCAGGGCGGGAGCCACATGTTGAAAACCGCCCGCCTTCCATCCGTGAAGCTGCTGCAGACTTTGAAGACGAACGTGCGCTGCGCTGGGGCGAGAGCCACAATTTTTGAGAACGATCCGCCCTCCATCCGTGAAGCTGTTGCCAATTTCAAGCTTCGGGGTCCTAGGTGGCGAGGAAGTCTCAGGCGAAACGCCTGGCCCGCCCTGCAGACACGTCTGGGGGTGCGACAGGGAGGAGTTATCTACAAGGAAGAGGGATGGAGGAGGAGGAGGAGGAGGAGGAGGAGGAGGAGGAGGAGGAGGAGGGAAGAAGTCGGAGGGAGGGAGGGACGAGGAGTAGAGGGGCAGGAGGAATGCACACATCCATAGGATTCGGAGGACGAGGAGGGAGAGGAGGAGGAGAAGAAGGAGGAGGACTGTAGGAGCGTAGAAGCGTACGAGTGTAGGAGTATAGGAGTGGAGGAGTGGAGGAGAGGAGGAGTAGAGGAGAGGAGGAGTGGAAGAGGAGGAGAAGGAGAAGGCGAAAACAAAGGAGAACCAGTGTAAACCCACGACGCATCAACGATGTCGCAAAGCACCCTCCCTCCAGTTTCCCTCTTCATATGTCCCGAAAGGAATTGATGTTCATTGCGGGAAGTGGCCCGTTAGAAGGCCACCGTTTGAGAACTCCCAATCGTGCCAAAACGCAGTTCTTGGGACTACCGCGCCGCGAATCTATGTGGCTGTTGCGTCCTGGCAATCCGCAGTCGTGCCAGACAGAAAGCCGCTCCTTCAAATTCAACGCTACGAATCAAGTCGACTGGTAGGTCCTCGCAACTCCAGAACGCGATTTGTAGGATTTCGACCATACGAATCCTTGAAACTGCCGCTGACTTGAAAGACGGATGTGCGCGGCACTAAGGCGAGAGCCACACTTTGAGAAGGAGCCACCCGCCATCCGGCTGACTGCTGCAAGCTTTCAGGACGAATGTGTGCTAAGGCGAGAGCAGCATGTTGGAATGTAGCCGCGTCCATCCTTGAAGCTGCTGCAAACTTTGTAAGACGAGCGTGCGCGGCGCCAAGGCGGGAGCCACATGTTGAAAGCCGCCCGCCCTCCATCCGTGAAGCTGCTGCAGACTTTTAAGACGGACGTGCGCTGCGCTAGGGCGAGAGCCACAATTTGAGAACGATCCGCCCTCCATCCGTCAAATGGTTACGCATGTCAAACTTCAGGATCAGACATTGCGAGGAAGTCTCAGACAAAACGCCGGGCCCGCCCTACCGACACGTCTGGGGGCGCGACAGGGAGGATTTATTTAGAAGGAAGAGGTTCAATTTGGCTCAAGTTGGCTCGAGTTGACAGATCTGCTTACCCTACCATCTATTTTCCCACCCGTGCACCTCTCTCCCTCATTGTTTCTATTATTGTGCAGACATCCTTGCCAGAGCATCGTGTAACCTATTACAGCCAGAACACTTGGTGAGGCCTGCTTCAACCAGGAATCCTGGTGGGACCAAGATCTGAGCACATGGATCTGACCCTCTTGGTGCAAGACTCCTCTCTTTCACTCATCTCTTTTTCTGGGTGCTGGCCAACGAAAGCTGGCAGTCTTGGTGTTGCGGATTCGCCAGCGGCAGAAGCTTCCGGTTCGGACACGGCGCATCTTGCAGCATTCGCGCAGTCTGACGACGCAGATGGGTCGGCGGCGACATCCACGCGCGCGCCAGCACGACCGAGAGGCACACGCGTCTCCAGCAAGAGCCACGTCAACAAGGGTGAAAGCCACAGACTGCAAGAGTTGGACAGGGTGAAGGCTGAAGCGGACAAGGGCGAGGTGGCTCTTCGGAAACAGGGCGAAGACCTCCAAACAAAATGTGCCGGGTAGACAAATTGAGGCGGTTCCAGGTGTTGGGGCAACTGCAGGAGACGCGACGCTTGCTGGGCTGCTCAGATGATGATGGCGTGGATTCCGTGTATGGAGTGAACGCAGACCAGTGTAACGATTCTTCGAGCTGCGACGGGTTTTCCGATTACCTTTCTGAGTCGGAATCCGATTCGGACAGGTTTGACCGAGGCATTGGTAGCAAGATTGTTCTGGGTGGTTTGGGGAACATCAGTTGGAACGATCTCCTTTCCATATTGGATGATGTTGCGCCCAAGGCCAACCATATCAGAATGAAGGGGTGCAAAGCTGCGATTTTCTTCAATGATTCCGACACGGCGCACAAGGCTGTTTCAGGTCTCCCCATGAAGGTGCCATTTTTGCAAAGTGAAAGCCAGAGTTTGTTCTGAAAGCCAACTATCCTCCAGTGATTTTCCCAGTGGCGACAGCCAGGACGGAAAAGATGACACAGCCGACGTGGGAGTGAGTTACGCTTTGGCAGACGACTCTCACAAAGGGTGAGCGTTCCTGACGAATTGGGACGTACGTGCAGTGAGACGCACTCCAAATGGCACGCGCGGCTGGTCCTTGCAAAACGTGCCGACATTGTGTGAGTGTTAGACATGCTGCACTGCTTCATTGCCTTGCCGTTTCCTCCTTCTCCTCCTCTTTGCGCACGCGTATTTGGGTCCAATTGCGAATTCAGCGTATTGTTTGAGCACATGCCACTCTGTCGGCCCTCGGGGTTCGACGATTTTCGGTTGGCGGCGAGGTAGACGCGTTCCTTTTACCTCGATATCACTCTTGTCTCAACATACAGGGTTATGGTCCCAAAGTGGATTGGCCATGGGTTTCAAGGGTTCGTTCAAGCTGATAAGTTTGATCGCGTTGAATATCGACCTTGCCGGCAATATGTAAGCTTCGGCATGCCAGTTTGCGTTTTCTTCCGTGGTAGCATGTTGTTTAAGGGAAGTGGGTCTTGAGTGCCTGTCTAGTCTTCTGCATTGGCATTCGTTGGCAACCTGATCAGGGGCGCGTCTGCACAAAAAGAGGTGTGGAGGAGGAGGAGGAGGAGGAGGAGGAGGAGGAGGAGGAGGAGTGAAGGGACAGAGGGGAGGGGATGGGGGAGGGACCGTGGGAGGACGAGGGAGGAGGAGGCGGAGGAGGAGGAAGAGGAGGAGGAGGAGGCGAGGATGGTTGACGACGAGGGAGGAGGCGGACGAGGAAAGAATGAGGAGCAGGGGAGGAGGAGGAGGAGGGAGGAGGAGTGGAGAAGAGCAGAGCAGGAGGAGGAGGAGGAGGAGGAAAACAGGGGAAGCTGGGGGAGCGGGAGGGGGAGGGCTTGGGTCTTAGGGTTGCATCGGCGCACGGCGTTGGGCCCCTCCCCCATACCCCCCCGCCACGCCACTTTTCACCACACTTATCCCACTCCCCTCCCTCCTCCCCTCCTCTCCCAACCTGCCTCCGAGAAGGCGACCCGCGTCATGTCGGAGAGGCGGCGGGGCTCGAACTGCTCGAACCCCGAGGCGGCGGCGGCGGGCGGGGCCGCCGCCGGAGAGGCGATCACGGTGGGCGTTCGCCTGCGGCCCCTGCTGCCGCACGAGAAGGGGCAGAAGCCGATTCTGAAGATCATAGGAGACAAGGTTCGGCTCGGCCACGCGCAGAGGGGGGTACGGTAGGTTCGTGTCGTGTCGACCGGCGGCGACCCCGCCAGCGGCGTTCAACTTTGAACGCCGCGGGCGACCCAGAATCGTTCGATGTGGAACGATTCGGACGTTTCGGAAACGGTCGATCGTTCAAGGTTGAACGATCCCCGCGGTGTCAGAAACCAACGCCGAAGTCGGCACGACACGGACCTGCCGTAGGGGGGATGGGGGGAGGCTTCCCAGAAGGGGGATGATTCTTAGAAGAGGCGGGCCATCTGTAGTATGTATATAGATATATACATATATATACATATACACATACATCTTTGTATCCTATATATATGTATACATATATATATATATATATATATATATATATTCATAGATGTAAGACCAGCGCCTTCGAAGAAGCAGCCTCCTTCTAAGAAGCCTTCCCCCCTCCCCCTACCACCCTCTGCGCGCCGCCAATCGAATAATGATACTAGGAGTAATAATAAGAAGACGAACAATAATAAACATACCAATGATCGTAATACTAAGAAGACGAAGAAGAAGCAGACGAGGAAGAAACATTATGATAATACGAACAAGAGGAGACGAAGAAGACGAGTAAGCATAATAACCATAAGAAATAAAGGAAGGCAAATCGGCGTGAGCATCAATTTTCGGAGCTCCTCGCGGACTTCTTGGACCGCCTGGCGGCGCCTCCAGGAGGGACCAGCGCGGGTCCGAGAAATCCGCGCGGGGCATCGGACGAGGGCCCTGGCTGCTTTATTCGGTGTCTAGGGGGTGTCCAGCCTCGGGATATGCTTTCTGGAGGTGCCCGGGTCGCTCCGAACGGCCGCCGGAGGCCCGAGGTTCTGATCCGAAGACCGAACCTCCTTGCGTGAAATTCACGCAAGGAGGTTCGGTCTTCGGATCCGAGTGGAGGGAGAAAGGAGAGTGAGTTGACAAGAAAATGGGTGAGTTGAGGGGATGGGGTCTCGGAGGCCCCTTTGAGAGGACCCCCACTAGGAAAGTTAATGGCTCAACCTCCGGTTCCGGCAGCGTGAATTACAGAAGAGTCACGGCGACAGGTTTTGGGCCGTTTTCGAGGTCCAGGGTCGGGCCGGACGAAAGGGGGGGATTGGGAAAGGGGGGGGGTACGAAATTTGCGGCATGCAGCTGGTTTCGGCCCCACCGAGGGGCCCATTCCTCGATACATAGCCGCCTCCGGCGCCGGGAGGCGCCGGGAAAATCAGCTACGTGAGCTGATTCTCACCCCCCCCCCCCCCTTTTGCTATCCCCCCCTTTCGCCCGACCCGACAGGGGCCCCTGCCAGGCCCCAGAAGCGTCAACAAAGATGCCTGGGATGAGAAACCAGTCCTGAGGAAACGGTTCAGGCCTCGAGCAGTCCACTTTGCGAAACGAATCACGACGTCTGAGATTTGGGTGCGGTGGGATCATGCGGCGATGTCGCGCCGGCGACGCCGGCGAAGGCGTTCCATGATAGAACGACGCGGAAGCACTGAGGTGCACGGTAACCCCATAGTACCCGACGCACGGAATTCAACCTTGAACGATCAGGGCCGCTATCGGTGTTGCACGATCGACGCGGTGTCAAAAACCTTTGCGCGCGCCGACGCCACACGAACCTACCATACCCGTTCCACTCCTTTCGAGGAGGCATGATGAAAACCGGCCCCGGGTAAAAGAGCCCAGATTTCGGGGGGTCAACGTCGCGAACAAAAAACACGACCTTTGAGATCTGGGTACTCGCTCCAAGGACCACCCATCATGGCAAAGAAAGTGGCCTCGATGGGGCATACACCAGGAGCCTCCTATTCTTCGTCCTTCCTCATCCTCCTCTTCTCCCTCCTCCTCCTGCTCCTCCTCCTCCTCCTCCTCCTCCTCCCTCCCCCTCCTCCTTCTCCTCCTCCTCCTCCTAAGAGGAAGAGGAGGAGGCGGAGGAGGAGGAGGAGGAGGGGGAGGAGGACGAGGAGGAGGAGGAGGAGGAGGAGGAGATACCGATACCGTTGCGGTTGCCCGTTTCTGATCGCCACGGTCGGATTCGCCTCGAGGTCCTGGGGAGAGGCCTTGGACGTTTCCACGGAGAAACAGCGACACGATCATGGCACTCTCATGGGCCAATTTTCCACCACCACCACCACTACCACAGGCAGGACGGAGGAGAAGGGAGGCCGGGGAGGTCCTCATCCTCCTCCTCCTCCTCCTCCTCCTCCTCCCCTCCTCCTCTCATCTCCTCCTCCTCCGCCTCCTCCACCTACTCTCCTCCTCCTCAGCCTCCTCCATATCATCATAATCATCATAATCATCTCATTCTCCTCCTCTCTGGCTCTCTCCTCTCCGCCTCTTCCTCATAACCCATGGTTGCGGTGGTCGGACAATCGGCCATCACTTGTGGCAAGTCCAAGCGGATTTCTTGGGACTGCGCTGAACTTCCTTCCTCCCTCTTTCCCCCCCTTTTTTCCTCCCCCCTCCCTCTCCCCCGCGGCCTCCCCAGCGCCGCGGAGGGGTCCCAGCGCCGATCCAAGACATCCGCGCGGACCTGCGAACGTCTGTTCATGCAGTTGCTCCTTGTTCGCAAGGTCGTGTCCGTGGTGGAGGGGGCCGGGGTGAAGTACACGGGCCCTTCCAGCTTCCAGTTCGACTACGCGATGGACAGCACCGATGCCTCGAGCCCCAGCTACGTCGGCGCGGCGAAATGCTACGACCTGATGGGCCGGCGCATGCTGGAGCACATGATGCTGGGCTACAGCACTTGCCTGTTCTGTTACGGTCAAACTGGCACAGGCACACGAGCAGGGAGGAAAGGACACGGGCTTCCTCTACGGAGATGGCTGAAAGCGAACAGGAGACCTTGCCAAATGTGAGTCAGCACGCTCGACGTGTTTGAGGTTTTTTTGTCAGGGGCGTTTGCTGAGAATGTCGCGCCGAAGGTTTTGACCCACCATGTCTCGGCGCGATTCGCGATGCCAGCATCATAGGGCGAAGAGAACTATGCACATGCACCGTTCCTGGTAAGGCCCATCCCTGACCCAGGACCGGTGCATATGCCTTCCTGGCCAAGGTAGGAGGGCGTATGCACCGATCCTGGGCTCAGGATGGGCCTGGCCAGAATCGGTGTATGTGCATAGTTCTTTTTCCTCTGCAGCAGCGCCCCGAGCTTGTCCAGGCCCCCCGCCACGCGAGGCAGAGCGGCACGCCCTCGGCCTGCAGGGCTGTGCCGCAGGGGCCGCCGCCACGACGCGCCGCGCCAGAGTTCTCTGGCGCGCTTCAGTGGCAATTCCCTGTGCCGCCCCAACTTCAGGAGGGAAAGAAACACACGGACACAATGAATCGTCGACTCCCAGGAACATCTGCCAAAGTATGGGCAGTTGGGGGGGAAGGCAGAAAACCCAGAAGATATGGGAAAATAGGGGGAAGCCTTTTATTTGTGTGTATCTATTTGTGTGTCCTGGGGCCCCTTCACAGCTCAGCATCGCCCAGCCTATCCCCATCCCCACTGGGCCATGGCATCCTCCTCCTCCTCCTCCTCCTACTCCGCCTATCCCCACCCCCACTGGGCCATGGCACCTCGGCCCCACCAGCCCACCCTCCTGGGTGGGGATAGGCCCCGCGAAGCCCGAAGCAAGAGGCACGCATCCCCACCCTCCTCCTCCTCCCCTCTCCTCATCCTCTCTCCTCCTCCCCTCCTCCTCCTCTCCCACCCTCATCCTCCTCCTCTCCTCCTCCTCCTCCTCCTCCTCCTCTCCTCATCCTCCTCCTCCTCCTCATCCTCCCTCCCCCGCTCTCCTCCTCCTCCTCCTCCTCTCCTCTCCTCCTCCTCCTCCTCCTCCTCCTCCTCCGCCTCCTCCTCATCATCCCCCCCCTCCTCCTCCTCCTCCTCCTCCTCCTCCTCCTCCTCCTCCTCCTCCTCCGCGAAGCCCGAAGCAAGAGGCACGTATCCCCACCTGGGCGGGCAGCTCGGCCAGCGCGGCCAGAGCCCCTGGCATCGCTCGGACGTGTGCATTTTTCCTTCGGCGAGGACCATCGAGGAGCATCCTTGATCATTTCGCGAAAAGACCACGCACGAAACCGAAAAAGGCACAGGAAATGGGCTTCCGAGCGATGGCCAGAGCTCGGCCAGCGCGGCCAGAGCCGCGCCAGTGGGGACAGGGATCGGTGAAGCCGTGCTCGCCAGCAGGGAAGACCACCACCATCATGGGCAAGCCGTCGCCGGTCGAGGAGCAGGGCATCCTCCTGAGGCTGATCACCGAGCTGTTCGCCGAGGTGGCGCGCCTGCAGGCCGAGGGCTACGAGGCGACCGTGCAGCTGCAGATGCTGGAGGTGTACAACGAGAAGATCTCGGACCTGCTGGTTCCTCGGAACAAGAGCAACTCACCGGGGGGCGACAACAAGAAAGTCGACGTCCATGTGCACCCGGACATCGGGGTGTATCTCACAGGGGCGACGGAGCTCACGGTGGAGAAGGCCGACAAGTGTGCGCAGTGGATCGAGTTTGGGAACTCTATGAAGACAGTCCACGCCACGGCGATGAACTCCCAAAGCTCCCGCGGGCACACTGTCGTCAAGATCAACGTAGAGCGGAAGGGTGGCCCCGACGGCACGGTCCTGCGCTCCGAGGTGTACTTCGCAGACCTCGCCGGCCGCGAGAACGAGAAGACCACGCAGGTCCAGGGGGATCGCCTGATCGAGCTCACGTTCATCAACCGCAGCCTCCTGCAGCTGGCGAACTGCATCCAGACCCTCGGCAAGGCCGGCATGGCCGCCCGCAGGAAGACCACCATGAAGCCCCAGGCCCCGAGCCCGCCGGACGGGGCACCCGAGGAGCGCGGGTCGGCCACGGCTCCAGGCCTCCCGAGTGGGCTCCGGGCAGCTGGGGTCGGCGGACCGCGCCGCATCTCCGAGGCCTCGTCGATGCGGCGCGATGTGGAGCACGGTGTCCTCCGCGCCCGCGGCGCCGAGGCATCGCCGAGGTCGCCGGTGCACTGTCGAGGCATCGCCGAGGCATCGGCGGTGCGGCGCGGTCCTCCCGCCCGACCTGCGGTCGGATGGAGGGACAAGATCCAGGTGGGTTCGGGGAGGGTGCCCTGCTGTGCGTCGTGCTTGTTGGGCGTTCTTGTGCATCCCACGGGGGAGGGCACCCTCGAGTGCTCTTCAGTCTGGCCGGCGGAGGGCCTCCTGTTCTCAGAGGCTGTTTTCCTCTGTCCCAGGTCGGCCGCGCCCAGAGCCCATCCCGGGAGGCCTCCGGCAGCAGTCCGCCCCGCACCGCTCCTGCGCGGGGGCCCCTCCCCGGGCAGCGTCCCGCGGGGGTGCGCCCCGCGGCCCGCCGTGGGGCCGGGGAGGGGCAGTGCCAGGCACCGGTTGCGCGGAGGACGGCTGCCGCCCCGGGAGGACAGCCCGCCGCCCCCGAGCAAGAAGGGCAAGGACTCCCGCTCCCTCCATTTTGTTCTTCCTCCTCCTCCTCCTCCTCCTCCTCCTCCTCCTCCTCCTGCTCTTCCTCCCCCTCGTCCTCCTTCTCCTCCTCCCTACTCCGCCTCACTCCTGTCCTATGTCCTCCTCCTCCTCCCCTCTCCTCCTCCTCCTCCTCCTCCTCCTCCTCCTCCTCCTCCCCCTCCTCCTCTTCAACTCCTTTCCATTGTAAGCACTTTCTCCCTGTCGCACCCCGAGGCCAGTTCTTAGGGCGGGCCGGGTGTTTCGCCGGAGACTTCCTGACCTTTTGTGGCCTTGAAGCTCAAACATGGGCAGCAGTTTCGCACATGGAGGGCGGGTCGTTTTCAAAATGCGGCTCTCGCCTTAGCGCCACGCATATTCGTTGTTTGGGGGATTGTTGCAAGAGTTTTACCGATTGGGGGCGAACCGTTTTCAAATTGTGACTCTCGTTTAGCGCCGCGTAGATTCGCTGAAGATTCGCAAGAGCTTCACGGATTGAGGGCGGTTCCTTGTCAAAATATGGCTCTCGCCTTAGCGCCGCGCACATTTTAACCTGTGCAAGAGTTTTACGGATTCCCATGATCAGCGTACCAGGAATGGTGTTTTGGAAGAGTTTCGGATTATGAGGGTGCAACAGTTACGTTGATTCGCGGTGGTGACGTCCCAGGAATGGCGTTCTGTCAAGGTTCAGGATCGTCAAGACGCAACAGTCAGGTTGATCCGTGGCACTGGAATCCCAAAAGTAATGTTTGGGCATGCTTCAGTGTCTTCAAACGGTTGTCTTCCAACGAGGTAGTTCCCTCAGTGGAAATGAACCGTTGTAGGTGCCTACGAAGAGGAAGCTTGGAGGGAGGGTTGATTCCAACGTCGTTGATGACTCTTGGGTTTACACTGGTCCTCCTCCTCCTCTCCTCCTCCCCGTGCTCCTCCTCCTCCTTCTCCTCCTCTCCTCTTCCAGTGGAGCAGAACTTTGGGCAGCGGCCACAACGATCATGCACAAAAGCCATAGCTGCATCGACTACAAGGATAGGTGGCGAAGAGGAGAAGCACACGGATGCAACATCGAGCGCCAGTACGTACTCGGAATTGTGGAGATTCTTGGCGGTTGCCAACGGCCTTGGCAGGGACCATGTGTCGTGTTTTTTTTCCGCGCCTCTCGCAAGCGGAGGCCCTCCGTGTCGGGGACCCGCTAGCGCACTGGCATGACAGCAAGCCTTGGACCGTTACGCCAAATGAAGGGCCAGGATGCATCCTCGACGGCTTCCTGACGCGGGGCTTGCTAGCGTACTGGCACGACAGCAAGCCTTGGGCTGTTACGCCACATGAAGGGCCAGGATGCACCCTCGACGGCTTCCCGACAAACGAGTTCGGGAGCTGCGAGAAGGTGCAGCGGGCCCGACGCTGCGGCTGGTACTGCGCCTCCTGCGCTCGTGCTCAAAAAGGAGGTACTCCAGATTTCGTAATAAAAGGGAGGGGGTCTGGACCCTCCAAGACAAGCCATTTCAGACCCCCCCCCGTGGGAGAACCCTCCAAAACATCGTCCCCAGACCCCCCCCAGGCCCTCCAAGATAGCTTGGAAGAGACCCCCCCCGAAATGAGACCCCCCTCCCTTTATTACGAAATCTGGAGTAGGGCAGATGCTGAGAAACTTGAGCAAGTGGAGAGGCCTCCCAGCCTTGGGTTTGAGTGATGACCTCGGGTACGCGGTTAGGAGGCTTAAGGGCAGATGGATTTGCGCGAAGTGCGGAGGCAGCCGCGCCCCAAGGGCCGAACTGGCTGGTTTTGTTTGAGGGGGCCCGCCCAAGGGGACCCGAGTGGTCCATGTATCCCAGAAGTTTTGGAAGACTGGCCCACTGGCCTGGTGCGCGGAATGTTCCCATGCTCTCGCGAACCTGGCCAGGCACCGAGTGGCTGGCTGGCTCTCCTTGGCCTAGCGCGTACGGGCGCCTCTTTTCCTGTTGGCCTGGCGCCGCGTTCTCGGAGCCCCCCGGCGTTATCTGGAGCCTCTGGAGCCCCCTCCACCTCCTCTGCAGCTCCTTTCCCCCCCCCCCCACAGTCACGTCGCCCTCCGGACAGCCCCATTCTCCGAGCATGCCGGCCCATTCGCGGCGCACCGGCCCTGGCCGCCCAGGGGGGAGGCTGTCCTGCGAGCGAGGCCGAACCTTTTCGCTCCAGCTTGTCGTTTTGTCTTGCAGTCCCCCGGAGGGCTCCTGGTGCTGGCGCCACTCAGGTGAAGCTCTGCGGAGCGGAGTGCCTTCGGAGTCTCCGCCCCCGTCGCGGCTGAGTTTTGTCTGTGGCCATTGCACGAGCCACCTGGGCTGCCGCGTAGCCGGACTACGCCCGCGCGCCCTGACCTGCCCCTCCAGTCTGCACGTCGACGTCTTGACCCCCTGGCAAGAGCAGCGGCGATCAGATCTCGGCCTCTTAGCTGCTACTCTGTTCAGATTCGACGTATCCCCCGCACCACTCCTCCTCCTCCTCCTCCTCCTCCTCCTCCTCCTCCTCCTCCTCCTCCTCCTCCTCCTCACCTGCTGCTCCTCCTCCTCCTCCTCCTCCTCACCTGCTTCTCCTCCTCCACATCCATCTATTCTGTTCAGATTCGACGCGTCCGTCGCATCCCTCCTCCCCCTCCTCTCCTGTCCTTACAAGGACATGTCCAAGTTCCGCAACTCGAAGCTGACGCTCCTGCTCTCCAACGCCCTGAGCGGCAATTCCCGCACGGCCATGATCGGCACGCTGAGCCCCGCGATCGGCAACTTCGAGGAGGGAGGAGGAGGAGGAGGAGGAGGAGGAGGAGGAGGAGGAGGAGGAGGAGGAGAAGGAGGAGGCGGAGGAGGCAGAGGATGAAGAATAGAGGGAGATCGCCATACATGGAGGAGGGAGAAGGGATAATGGAGGGAGAGGGGGGAGGAGAGGAGGGAGGAGGGAAGAATGGAGGGACGGAGGGAGGGAGGGAGGGAGGAGGAGGAGGAGGAGGAGGAGGAGGAGGAGGAGGAGGAGGAAGAGGAGGAGGATGAGAAAGCTACGCACGAGGAGGAGGAGAAGGAGGAGGAGGAGGAGGAGGAGGAGGAGGATGTTCCCGAGATCGACAGGGGTCTCACCACGGACCCGCGCAACAGAGAACTGGAATGCGTTTGACTACAAGCGTTTACAGGCATGGCAGAATTCGATCCGGAGAGGCCGACTCGCTTCATAGCAGCGGACCAGAGGCTCACGCATTTTGGCAGTAAACCGATATCGATTCCACAGTGGAAGCTGATGAAATGAAGCATGACACCGAACGTGGTGGTGGAGCCAGGGAAGTCGTATGGTGCTGGCATATCGGGCCATGCTCCTATCCAAGTGGCGCTTCATCCTCGGCGATTCCGTGGTCTACCTGAACAACAAACTCCACGCGTTGTATGTGAACCGCAGGAGTATCGGGAGGCGCTGGGCCACCTGCCAGCACCGCGTTGGAAGTGAATGAAGCGTCTCAGGTGTGACGCTGCCAAAGTTGCGAGAAACAGCCTCACTCGATCCTCCCTCCCCTCTCTCGAGGCCCGCCTCCTCGTCTTCCGCTGCTCGATCTCGAGCGCTGCTCATTTCAACGATTTGCGCCTTCGCAAGGACCCTCTGCTTGCCAGGTCGTGCCCGGTGGTTGAACTCCTCCAGGTCGTCGCGCTTCCTTCTTTCCGTTGTTTCCCTGGCTCGGCCAATCGAGTTACGCAGGGAATGCGAACGCTTGCACCAGCTGCTTCTTGATGCTAGGCTCGCTCGGGCCCAAGAAGAGGTCCAAGTGGAGTCGACGGCGGCTCTGGAGAGGAAGAGGCGGCCAGCGCATGTGAGGGCTGAGAGGGCGTCGGGGCAAGTTCAGGACTCCCAGAAGCAAGACTCTCCCGCTGCAGGCCCTGGTGGGCCCCCTCTGGCGCTACTCTCCTCTCCTTCGGACATGCGAGCTCATTGGGCCCCCTCTTTTGCGCCAACGCGAGCCCAGTTGAAGCATCTCGGAGCCGAAATCTCCAGGAGCACACCAACGAATTTGATTGGTCTGAGCTTAACTTGCCCACGGAGGAACTCATTCGTGTCACTCTGGCTCGCGCCTCTCCAACGGCAGCGTGTCCAGATGGCTTCCCCTGCGCGGCCTGGCAGACTGCGAAGCAAGCGCCCCCGGTTCGAGTTCGACAGTCTCTTGCTGGTGGTTGCTCCGAAGGTTAGGCTGGAAGCAGCTTTGTGCTTAGAGAAGCTGCCGCCACTCGCCCGCTTCCTCTGAAGAGTACGAGCATCAAAGCCCTAGCAGCTTGCAACCACAGAACCAGCCAATCCCCAGTCGCGAGTTGCATCAGGATCAGGGGGATCTGTCGCGGGACGCAATTTCTTGGACAATGTCGCTCCTCTGGGAACGTCGGTTCGAACATCTAGCATCTAGCATGCTTACGGGCGCTTCAGTGGACCTTCTTACCCTCCGCCTCGAGTTCGGTAACCCTTTCCCCTCTTTGATTCACGCGATTGTCTGGAACGTTCTGGAGCTAGTGGGTCTCCCTGAATGCTTCAGGAGTCTCATCCATGGCGCTTGCTGTCTGGCTTTCGCCAAAACCCCGCTCCAAGAGCTTCTTGTGTTTTTTTCCCTCGTAGTCACTGCTGTGTGATGCCTGGGGGGCCCTGCGAGCGACAGCATGTGGGCTCTGGCGATGGATCCCCTCATGCGGGACATGTGTGCCAGATAAAAGAAGCATTCTGGGTCGGAAGTGTGTGTGTGTGTGTGTGTGTGTGCGAATGACGTCGGGGTGGCTGTGAGGGAGTTCGTCGCTCAGCCTCGATTATCGGAAGTCTTCTATGCTGCCCGTCTTCCAAGTGGCCTCAAATTTGAGTTCCCTGCATGTTGTGTCATTCCTGTCCCAGAGGTCTTTTCGGAGGAGCTCAAGACTCGTGTCCAGTCGTTCATGAGAACCCATGCTGCCAAGTGGGCCTGGATCCCAATCGTAGAGGCGGCGGAATCTCTTGGGGTGTGGATCGGCTCCAGAGCAAGTCGTGAGACGGTGTGGCGTCGTATGTTCCGTGAGTGTTGGGGAATCAATGACATTGCTGCTGCCAGGGCCGTCCCTTGATTGCTATCACGTTGTGTAATTCGAGGGCCGTCTAAGCTGAGCTAACTTGCCCAGCTGACGCCCATCCCAACATTAGTTCTTCAGTTGGAGTCGTGAGCCCTTCATACGATCCTCCATCTCCCTGCCTTCAGGTTCCGTCTGGAACAGATCCCCGCTCTTAGGCAATGGTCCCGCCTGAGACCGCAGTCTGTTCGTGTCCAGTCTGTCGCCTCTATCTTGCGCTCGGCCAGAAACACGATCACTAATTGGCGCTCCTAGTGGAAGCACTGCAGACCGCCGCGAGGACCCACAGACCCATGACCGACTGGCCGGACAGGGTTGGGCCCCTCCCCACTGGCAAGCACCGGCCTTTTTCCAACCTGGATCAGGTTTGCAAATTCGGGTGTTTTGGCGAATGTGACTTCCAGAAGCACTGCGTACCTGTATAACCTTCTCTTACCGGGGGCGGGGCAAGCTGTTTGGATCCCATCCACTTTGGTCGAGGTCTTTGTGGACCGAAAGCTGGGTTTTGCTCGTGCGATGTCTCCCGAAGATCGTCTTCTCGCGTGTCAGAGGCGTGTGCTTCGTTTCTATAAGTTCGATTCGATCAGGAGAGTGAAGGATGTGGATCAGGAGATGGTTTATCAGCATGCGAAGGCTGCCAGAGCGCAGCTTTTTCAGCAGGCAGATGGTGCACCCTGGCTCCACACGAACTCATTCCGAGCTGTGTGCGAGGAGGAGGAGGAGGAGGAGCAAGAAATGATGATGAGGAGGAGTGAAGGAAGGAAGGAAGGAAGGAAGGAAGGAAGGAAGGAAGGAAGAAAGGAAGCAAGGAAGGAAGGAGGAAGGAGGAGGACGGTGGATGAGGACGAGGAGTATGACCATTTGTAGGAGAGCTACAGCACCCTGAGATTCGCTGTCACGGTGGGGGCGATCAAAGTGGAGGCCACCAAGACAACCGAGCAGGACTGCCCCACCATGGTGAAGATCACCACCCTCATCCACAATTCGTTTCCCTTCTCTCTCCCTCCTCTCTCCTCCTCCTCCTCCTCCTCCTCCTCCTCCTTGGTGGCTCGTGGAGGATGAACCCCCCCTGTACGCTCGTCTCCTCCTCCTCCTCCTCCTCCTCCTCCTCCCCGCCTCCTCCTCCTCCTCCTCCCCCTCCTCCCCTCCTCCCCTCCTCCCCCGCCTCCTACTCCTCCTCCTCCTCCCCCTCCTCCCCCATTCTCCTCCTGTTACCTGTAACCCGTCGCTTTGAAGGCTGCAGAGGGCGGCGAGTGAGCATGTTCTTGTCTTCGCAAAAGAAAATCTCAGGTCCGAGGGGGGGGGCGGTGCGTGTTTGCCAGAAGATAAAGAGGTGCACGGCGTTCTTTGTCGCGCAGCCTCTGGTGGCTTCATGGGCAGAGAATCGCGCCAGGTTGCTGCCGAGCAGCTTTCATGGAAGGCTACGCGCGACCAGCCTGTACATTTTTGTGGGTTTGGCCGCGCCGCGAGATCAATGTCCTGACAATCTTGGGTGTCCATGTCTCGTTCTACATTGTCGCTCCACGCGTGGCATTATTTCAGGCACGCGAATCGGCCCGACGATCACCAAACACTTACACCACACTTACACAACACCACACTTACACAACACCTGCACCACTTGTACACTACATGCGTACCACTTCTACACCACATCTGCATCATAATTACACAACTTTCAATCCCATGCACACCACATGCACCCCAGACCGCACTTACTGCGCGCCAGGGCCTCGTTGAGATTCCGCCCGCGTCCCCTGGAATACGGCGGAGCCGCCTGGGATTAAGACAGTAATGAAACAATGCAGTTCTTGTTTGGGGGCCACTGGGATCGGAAACCGCGCCCGGGAATGCACCAGAGGACACGAATCCAACACGACCAAACATGTACACCACCACATTTGCCCCACATGTGCTCCGACGCCTGCACCTCATGTGCACCACGGCGACACCGCTTTGACGCCACATTCGCACCACATCCACACCACAACGACACCACAACTGCACCGCACGTGGCACGTGCTGCATGCGCGCTGCAGGGCGATCCCGCGCTCTCCCGTGGACCACAGGCGGTGGCGCTTGGTTCGCACTCGGGCCCTGCGCCAGGCAGCGCTCGTGCCCCGTGCCTGTCGCGCAGGACGCCCCGAGCCGTCGCCTGGGCCGTCGAGGCCGACGGGCTTCGGCTCCTGCTGCTCCCCCCGCGCTTGCCGCCGATGCTGCGCTCGCAGTCGCCTGGCTCGCGAGGCGAACTGCGCTTGGAGGGCAAAGGCGATGCCTGAGAGCTCTGCGCGGGCGAATCCGATTTCCCCGCGGAGGTCGGCGGCCTTCGCGCGCTTGCCCTGGGACTTACGAGCAGGCCCACTAGGTTACAGCTGACCTCCCCCCGCAGCCTTAACACCCGCCACCTCGGGCCCTACGGCGCTCGGAACGCCTCCCTCCGCCGAGCAGGACTACCCCGCCCTCGTGAAGAAACTCCAGGGCGAGGTCGCGGAGCTGAGGTCGCAGCTGTCAGAGGCCAAGGCCAACGTCTTCACGGACCACGGCATCAAATTGGTCGAGACGGAGGTGCGGGCACGGGAGGAGCTCGTCGACAGGCTCACGGAGAATAGTACTACTAACTTACCCGGTGACGTACCCAACCCTCTTCTAACACGGGGCAGCTATATCATGGATCTCCCAATACAAGCGAACATGATGAAAGACGCGCATTTCGCATCACCCCAGGGAGATTCAGGGAGCACCAAGCTGGGTCCGCGTGGACCTCCACTCCGCTGGACCTCCCAGGAGCCCACGAAACGAGCGACAGTTGCGCGGTCCGCAGCCCCCCAGGGCCCGCGAGGTCTCGGCTGGGTATGCGTGGACCTCCATTCCGCTGGACCTCCAAGGAGCCCACGAAAATGGCGGCAGGTGCGCGGTTCGCAACCCCGCAGGGAGCCGCGAGGTCTCAGCAGATCTGCGTGGACCCCCACTCCGCTGGACCTCTACGAACATGGCGACAGTTGCGCGGTTCGCAACCCCGCAGGGAGCCGCGAGATCCTGGCAGATTTGCATGGACCTCCATTCCGTTGGACCCCCCAGAAGCCCACGAAAATGGCGACAGTTGCGCGGTTCGCAGCCCCGCAGGGAGCCGCGAGGTCTCGGCAGATATGCGTCACTCCGCTGGACCTCCCAGGAGCCCACAAACATGGCGACAGTTGCACGGTTCGCAACCCCGCAAGTAGCCGCGAGGTCTCGGCAGATCCGCGTGGACCCCCACTCCGCTGGACCTCCCAGGAGCCCACGAAATGTGCGACAGTTGCGCGGTTCGCAGCCCCGCGGTGAGCCGCGAGGTCTCCGCAGATTTGCGTGGACCTCCATTCCGCTGGACCCCCAGGAGCCCACGAAAATGGCGACAGTTGCGCGGTTGTCAACCCGCAGGGCCCGCGAGGCCTCGACGAGGGCGAGGACGACGAAACATGAAAGAGAGGGGGCTGAGGGGAGGGGATGATGGAGAGGCGGGGAGGAGGGAGGAGAGAGGCGGGATGAGGAGAAGGAGGTGAGGCCCACACAACCTATTCAAAACGTGAACTCAACCAAGGGAGGGCTGGCAAGAACGCGGGAAGCAAGAGGGAGGAGAAGGACGAGGAGGAGGAGGAGGAGGAGGAGGAGGAGGAGGAAAAGGAGGAGGAGGAGAAGGAGGAGGCGGAGGTGGATAGGGAGGAGGAGGAGGAGAGATGAGGAGAGGCGAAGAGGGGGAGGGAGGGGAGGAGGAGTAGGAGGAGGGAGGAGGAGGAAGAGGAGGAGGAGGAGGAGGATCAGGAGGAGGAGGAGGATCAGGAGGGGGAGAAGGAGGAGGAGGAGTGTGCGACCGCAGCGCTCTAGAACGAGAATCCGAAACAGAAGGACGGGAAGGGATTTCAACTTTCGGAGGTCCACGCGGACCTCCGAAAGTTTACGCTTTTGCCGCTTGCGACTTCCCCAAAGGCTCACGAAGGACCCCAAGGTCGCGAGGAGGGAGTCGAAGACCCACGAGCACCTCATGCAGGACGTCATGCGGCAATACGGCATCAAGGAGTTCTCGGAGGTCCCGTTTCCCCGTCTGGTGAATTGTTCCGACGACTCGGGCGAGATCGGCAAGATGCTGTACCACATCCCGGACGACGATGTCGAGCACCCCCTCGGGTCCGATGACTCCAACGACTTCCGGCTGCCACCACGCACGGGAGTGTTGCCGAGGATGTGCACGCTGCGCAACGACGGCCAGCATGTCTGGATACGGCTCGCCCGCCCGGCAGAGGACAAAGAGCACCCCAAGGCTCAGAGGAGGAAAAAGGTACCGATGCCACTATCCTTCCCTCGTGTTCGCCTTCCTGGGCCGGTTGGGAGGCCCTCGTCGCCACGGCTGGGATCGCCTCGCAAGTTCTGGGCAGAGCGCACCCCTGGCGAGGCCTGGGGAGCACGGCAGGCTCGTGTCGTGCCGACGTGGTGACGACCCCAGCGCGGGCTCTCACGGTTGAACGCCGCCAGTGGCCCGCAGGATCGGCCAGTGTGGAGCGTTCTGGGGATCGAAACGCCGCCGATCTTCAAATCGAAGAAGAAAAAAATTATCCCGGCAAAGCAACCTAACAACGATGTGTAGGAGCATATTTGAAAGCGTTCCCCTTAAAATTCAGATGAGACTCCAGTTGTAGAATTCTGCTGTTCTCGCAGTCGTAGTCGCATTCGCGATGACAGTCGCAGTGGCAACGGCAGTCGCAGTCACAGCCTCAGCCTCAGCCTGCCTCAGCCTCAGCCTCAGCAGCCTCGGCAGCCTCAAGCCTGCCTCAGCCTAGCCTGCCTCAGCCTCACCCTGCATCAGCCTTCAAGCCTCAGATCAGGTATCAGCCTGCTCAAGACAGTCTGCCTTCAGCCTCGGCCTCAGGCCTCAGCCTGCCTCAGCCTTCACCCTGCCTCGGCTGCAGCAGCCTCAAGCCTCAGCCTCAGTCTCAGCCTGCCTCAGCATCAGCTCAGCAGCGGTCTGCCTTCAGCCTGCCTCAGCCTAGCCTGCCTCAGCCTCAGCCTCAGCCTGCTTCAGCCTCAGCCTCAGTCTGCCTTCAGCCTCGGCCTCAGCCTCAGCCTGCCTCAGCCTCAGCCTCAGCCTGCTTCAGGCCTAAGACTCAGTCTGCCTGCAGCCTTGGCTCAGCCTCAGCCTGGCTTCAGCCTCAGCTCAGTCTGCCGCAGACTTGGCCTCAGGCTCAGCCAGCCTCAGCCTGGAGCCTGCTCAGCCTCAGCCTCAGCCTCAGCCTCAGCTGCCTCAGCATCAGCCTGCCTCAGCCTCAGCCTCAGCCTGCCTCAGACTCAGCCTCAAGCCTGCTCAGCTCAGCCTCAGTCTAGCTTCAGCCTGGCCTCAGCCTCAGCTGCCTCAGCATGAGCCTGCATCAGCCTCAGCTCAGCCTCAGCCTGCCTCAGCCTCAGCTCAGCCTGCACAGCTCAGCCTCAGCCTGCCTCAGCCTCAGCCTCAGCCCGCTTGCTTCAGCCTAGCATTCAGTCTGCCTTTTGCCTCGGCACCTCAGCCTCCGCCTGCACAGCCTCATCCTACATGAGCCTCAGCCTCAGCCTGCCTCGGCTTGCCTCAGCCTCAGCCTCAGCCTGCCTCGGCCTCAGCCTCAGCATCAGCCTGCCGCAGCCTCAGCGTCAGCGTCAGCCTCAGCCTGCATCAGCCTCAGCTTCAGCCTCAACCTGCCTCAGCCTCAGCCTCAGCCTGCCTCAGCCTCAGCCTCGGCCTCAGCCTCAGCCTCAGCCTGCCTCAGCCGCAGCTTGCCTCAGCCTCAGTCACTGCCTCAGCCTCAGCCTGCCTCAGCCTCAGCCTCAGCCTGCCTCGGCTTGCCTCAGCCTCAGCCTCAGCCGCCTCAGCATCAGCCTGCTCAGCCCAGCCTCAGCCTGCCTCAGCTCAGCCTAGCTGCTTCAGCTTCAGCCTTGGTCTGCCTTTCAAGCCTCGGCCTCAGCCTCAGCCTGCCTCAGCCTCAGCCTGCATCAGCCCAGCCCAGCTCAGCCTGCCTCAGCATCAGCCTGCCTCAGGCTCAGCCCAGCCGCCTCAGCCTCAGCCTCAGGCCTGCTTCAGCCTCAGACTCAGTCTGCCTTCAGCCTCCGCCTCTACCTCAGCCTGCCTCAGCTCAGCCTGCATCCTAGCCTAGGCCTCAGCCCAGCCTAGCCTGCGCTCAGCATCAGCCTGCCTCAGCCTCAGCATCAGCCTGCCTCCCCCCCACCCCCCCCCCCCCTCCACAGGCCCAGCCTCAGCCTGCTTCAGCCTCAGCCTCAGTCTGCCTTCAGCCTCGGCCTCAGCTTGCCTCAGCCTCAGCCTGCCTCAGCCTCAGCATCAGCCTTCCTCAGCATTCAAAATGTGGCCCGGGAATGGAGTTCTGGGAACTCGAAGAACACGAAGTGGCCTACAGTTGGCTCCGGGCATGCAAAATCATGCCCAGGAATGGAGGTCTGCGAACTTGAAGACCACGAAGTGGCCTACAGCAGGCTCCGGGCATTCAAAATCATGCCCAGGAGTGGAGTTCTGGGAACTCGAAGAACACGAAGTGGCCTACAGTTGGCTCCGGGCATTCAAAATCATGCCCAGGAATGGAGTTCTGGGAACTTGAAGATCACGAAGTGGCCTACAGATGGCTCCGGGCATTCAAAATCATGCCCAGGAATGGAGTTCTGGGAACTCGAAGACCACGAAGTGCGTTACTGTTGGCTAAAAAAGGAGTCCCCGGATTCCCCTGGATCCCGTCCAGATCCCTCCCAGACCCCCCTGGGGAGTCATGATGCTCTCTTTTGACACCACTAAAAACCTATCAGTCTTCGCTGTTAGGTAATCATAAACATAGGTTTTTGTCCCCCGTGGCCCCCCTGGCGGCGCCTCTGGCGAGGGCCGCGCGGAGCGCCAAAAGTTTATACGTATGTGGGTTTTTCTTTATCTATTATAGACTGAAGAGGATCCACACGGTGTTAGAAACCAACGCCAGGGTCGTCACGACACGAGCTTACCGTACCGTAGCGGTATCGGTAATTGTTGAGAAGCCGTGCTATGACGGCACATCGGCATCAGTGTGAACACTCAGAGCGAAACAGCATCTTGTCGAACACCAGTTTTCCTCGTGTTGCGGCAGCGGCTACCTCTGCCCAGAGCGGCGGACAGACGATCTCCGTCTCCTCCCACAGCCCTGAGCGCATGCAGTCTGGTCCCGTGTCCCCAGGAGGCCGTCGGACGCCCCCCGCTTTCGCACGCCGCCCGGCCCTGCCGGCCGCGACGGCGAGGGGCAGTCGTTGGCCTCCCCCTACAGGCGGCGGACGTCAGGATCGACGGGGTGCCGCTGGGCCCGGAGGAGGCGCGGGTCGGGCATCTGAGCTGCCTGCACTTCGGGCCGGCGACCGCGTTCTACGTCTGCACGGAGCAGGCCTCCTGTATGGGGGCCCGATCGGCGGGGCCCCAGTCGGCGGCGCGCCCCGGGGGGGAGGAGGAGGAGGAGGAGGGGGAGGAGGAGGAGGAGGAGTATCGACCCCATGCACTGTGCACTGCTCCTTTTCCTTGGCATGGGCTGCGTCTGTGACACTGCAGCCCTAATCCCGACCGACCGACCGACCGACCGAGGAGGAGGAGGAGGAGGAGGAGGAGGAGGAGGAGCAGGAGGAGGAGGAGGAGGAGGAGGAATAATAATAATAATAATAATAATAATAATAAAATGAATAAGAATAAAATACTACGACTAACTACTACTACTACTACTACTACTACTACTCCTATACTACTACACTACTTACGACTACTACTCTACAACTAATACTACTACTACTACTACTTACTACTACTATACTAATACTTACTATACTACTACTAAAAGACGACTACTATAGTCGTAGTAGTAGTAGTAGTAGTAGGTAGTAGTAGTAGTAGTGAGTAGTAGTAGTTCGTTAGTAGTAGTAGTAGTAGTAGTAGTAGTAGTTCGTAGTAGGAGTTTAGTAGTCGTAGTAGTAGTAGTAGGTAGATAGTAGTAGTTAGTAGTAGTAGTAGTATAGTGGTAGTAGGACTAGTGGAGAAGTAGTGGTAGTAGTAGTAGTAGTAGTAGAGTAGTTATCAGTAGTAGTAGTAGTAGTAGTAGTAGTTAGAGTAGTGTAGTAGTAGAGTAGTTAGTAGTAGTAGTAGTAGTCGTAGTAGTAGTCGTAGTAGTAGTCGTAGTAGTAGTAGAGTAGTAGTAGTAGTAGTAGTTAGTAGTAGTAGTAGTAGGTAGTAGTATTAGTAGTAGTAGTAGTAGTAGTAGTAGTATAGTGTTTGATACTAATAATAATACGAATAACAATAATAAGAAGAATACGAATAAGAAAAATAATAAGAAGAATAAGAAGAAGAAGTCGAAGAAGAAGAAGAAGAGGAGGAGGAGGAGGAGGAGGAGGAGGAGGAGGAGGAGGGGGGGGGGCGCAGGCCTTTTCAGGAGATGAGAAGTCGCCCCTGTCGGCGGAGAAAAGGCTCAGGAAGCTTCTCAGAAGGCTGGAGGCCTTCCCAAGCCTTCTGAGAAGCCCCCCGCCCCTCTGCAGTCCCCCCTGGGCTCGCCGCCAGCCGAGACCTCGGGTTTGATCGTGTTCGGCCCAGCGGGGCCCTTACGGGGGGGGGGCCTCAGGGCCGTCAAAAAGCAGCACAGGATGAGAAGCGGGTCCCTGGGAAGAGGTCCAGATCTGAGGGAGTCCACGCCACTGGGTCTGGGACTACGACCACCTCTTAGAGCTCGATTCTCCAGCAGCCCCCAGAGGGTGCGCGTGGCATTTTGTTTCCCCTCCCGGGGCGCAGAGAAAAGGTGCCACCTTCGCTTCTGGAGTCCGTCTGACCAGACAGGTTCCTTTGAGATGGAAGTGGTACGAATTTTCTTTCCCGAGAAACAACATGCATGATTTAGCCAGGTTCGGCCCAAAACCTATGCAGTGCAATATGTGGTGCAATCTATGCGGTGCAAGTCACTCTGCTGAACTTGAAATTGTCTGTTCTACTGCTCGCGCAATCGTCCCACCCACCCGCCCGCAACTTGGTTTGCAAAACCTGTGCGTCGGCGATTGCGATGACTGATTGGCGCAGGTTGGCACATCCATGCGGCCGCGCCGGCAGTGCTCACGTTCCGAGCGGCCAGCTAGTCTGGCGCGACCGACGCGGCCGCGGTGGCGCTGACTGCGTGGGACTCCCCAGCGCGTCTCGCAGGCCAGCGCGTCTCGCGTATCGTCCCGGATCCGTTGTTGATGGCCAGGGGCCTGATAACGTGCCCTTTGAGGGCCGAAATCGCGGAAATCTGCCCCCGGATGGCAAAAACAAGGGCAACAGTTCGTCGGATATATCTGAGGTTTCTATGTCCCGCAGGTCTCCAAGGAGGAGCTCTTCCGCAGGTGGAGCGAGCCTCCCACGAACGCCTCCGCCGAGGAGCTGATGTCGCTCATCCTGGGCGACGGGCGCGACGAGCAGCGCGAGCAGATCGGGCAGGCCGCCAAACGGTACAGGGGCAACGGAAGTCTAGGACTCCTAGATGGGGTCAGAGTAGATGGGGTCGAAGAGTCGCGCCGCATCGCCGATGCATGGACGATGCGGGTCGATGCGGAGTCCCGATTTTCTCCACGCCAACGGCGCCGATGCATCACCGACGTCGACGATGCATGGAAAGTGCATCACCGATGCATCGCCGATATATCGGCGATGCGGCGCGATCCTCCGACCCCATCTACTCCAACCCCATCAAGGAGGCCTCTAGTTAGGGGGGGGGATAGGCTCAGGGGGGATGCATCGACCCCCAACCGCCCCCCCACTCGCGAAGTTTCGAGGCTCGAGGTTTTCGGGCGTGTTCGTCGGTTCCAGGCGGTTTTCCGGCCTCGGGACGCCTTCCAGCGACCTGCGCCTCGCCGAGAGCGTGTTTCGGGGACTGCCCAGCTCGTTCCGAGCGGCCGCCGCCGGAGACCCGAGCTGCGACCCAAAAGGTCGGACCGCGAGGACCACGAGGGGGTGGGGGGCTCAGGGGGGGGGATGCCTCCACCCCCAGTCGCCCACGTGCAGTGCG